TTAAGTTGTGTGCACTTGGCCGGTACTGCTTAAAACATGTGTCCAAAGCACCAGAAGTGGTCATCTTTGGATCTTGGAACTGCATGCAGTGATGATAGCGTGTCTTTGGAATTCCTCGTTTCGCTCAGGGTCATTGAGCCCGATGGCGATGCTTGACACAATGTCTGGACCGCTGAGCAATCTCGGCATATTGAACACCAACCTTGGAGTTGTTGCTTATATATATATTTATATTGAGTACAAATTACGGTGTGTATATATATATATATACACAGTATATGTAAGTACTGATGTGTTGGTTCATGTTGGTTCATAAGTTCTTTGCACAAAGGTACTTTGCCAGTCTCCAGAGTCTAGTTGTTAAACTCTTGTTCAACTAGAAGCTGTTCCCGATTGTTGAGCTCAGGAGACATGCATGCGATTGCATGTTTCTTTCGTTTTTTTGCTCTCAGCTTGCCTTGAACTTATCCAGGGTAGAAATGCCTTGGTTGAACAAGACACTCCTATATGACGGGCCTCTTCCTTTCAGCCTTTGGTGGGAAGGATGAAACTCACTGAACAACTATCCCTAGCTGAACGTCGGTGATGCTACTTATTTTCACCTCTGACAGCTGACCCTGCCTCTGGTTTTGGACATGCAGCATGAGTTGTTTTAAGTTGTGTGCACTTGGCCGGTACTGCTTAAAACATGTGTCCAAAACACCAGAAGTGGACATCTTTGGATCTTGGAACTGCATGGAGTGATAGTTTTGATTGAAAGAAATCCTACCATTCGGACATGGTTTGGACAGAAGCGATGATGGTTGTATGGCATAGTGACATAGTGGCCTCTAGTAGAACAATCCGACCAAGATTTCTTCCGCTTTCACATGGTCTACACTAGTCTAGACAATTTGCAAGTGCTAATTCTTTCCACTCCTGAAGTGTAGGCCTCCCACCACACTCTCCCCTGCACTTTGCCAACGCTGCGCCCGGCCGTTGAAGACTTTTAGACTATCAGAGGATGGATGGGGCCCAAATATGTGCGCAGAATTTCTGGGAGATTCTAAGATGTCCTAAGCAGATCTACTGTACCTGCAAACCGACCAAGGTTGCTTTGCTACAAAAAGCAATCAACCATAAGAATCCTCATAGGATGGGCCAGAATGTGTTCAGCATGTTGTCAAAAAAAATTGTGTCCAAAACATATTGCACTTAGAGTTGTTTCTTGGTCTTCTGCAACCCTTTTTGAACCGGGCTTCCGATCCGCTTCCGGGCACCGCGGGGCCCCATGGGCGGTGGCAGTTCCACCGGCGCCTCCTACGCCACCGCGGCGCCCGCGCCCGCGGAAGCCGCGCCGCTGCCCAACGCTTCGTCCTCGGCGTCCTCGGGGTCGGTGCTGGGCAAGGGCGCTGAAAGGAGGGTGGAGGCAGAGGATGGAAGTGGATGTGGATTTGCTGTGGGAGTTCGAAGGCAATTCAACATGTCCTAATAATACATCATGTGTATGAATTCTCTATATAGTAGTATTTATTAAGTATGTCTTTCCTGGTGCCTCAAGTAATTCCAAATAGAGAACCACAAGGGGAGAGATGAAAGGTCCGACTCCATGAGGGTGAACATGACCTCCGCAGATCTCCTCAGTGCATTCACCTTCTGCTGGTTTTTTCATCCGGGTGGATGCCTCCAGATGCATTCAGGACGGGTTGTGGCACCATATCTCGGGCAGATGGACCCTGAGCAGATGGTTTGTGGGTTTGCTCATGCTTTGCAGATGGTTTGTTGATGTCGTATTTTTGTTGGTGTGGTCCCTACAAAGGCCCACCAAGTTGTAATTATGTGTTAGTTTCAATACAGTATTGCAGACAAGTAACTATATAATTGTATAATAAGTGATCGGAAGAAGATATCAAAGTGCTGCACATACATCATGCACATGCATGGATCCTTAGGCATTCCCTTTGTGCTTCTTGCCAGGCCGTTGCTTCTACCAGAGCCACTAGCTCCGCCAGTGGCGCAGCTGAAAGTCACTCATGGCATGGCACGCAGGTGTGGTGGCCAGAGCGGGTGGGGGTGGCCTTTCCAGCGGTCAAAATGAACATCTTGGCATGGGACCTTCCAATACGAGATCCTAAGAGACCAGTCTTCCCAGCCAAGGCCGAGATCTCGGGGGGGTCTCAGCCTGCCACAGCCTTACACAGCCTTTGCACGTCGACGTGCCAAGCCTCCGGCCTCCAGGGGAAGCTCCAAATATGACTCTTCATACACTGGGAGATGGGATCACAGGACAAATATCCAGGCCATTTGCCATCAATTTGCCTGTATGTTGGATGATTTGCTTTAAGAGTGGGTAGAACATGGGTAGAATTGCAGCAATGGGCGAACCATCTGGCCTGCAGCTCACCTCCTCACTTTCCAAACAACGGTTGATGTGGGCAGGACGCACTGGTTTGTTCTTGATTGAAGAAACACAACAGGGGAGGGTCACGATCGCATTTGACGCCGCCCCTCGGTCCTTTTAAAGAAGGGCCTGAGGGAGTGAAGTATGAAACTTGTTTTGAACCACGGTTTTGGAGTAGATGGCATAGAACCCCAAATATTTATCTTACATGGGTTCCATATCAACGATATTTGAGAATTGACGATTAATGGTAATCTAACTTCAGAAACCACTTGTATTACAGTACATTCTCATCTATACCGTCTATACCCGTACCCCTCAATCCATGGAGCCTCACGGAGCATCAAAGAGATGCGTTGGACATTTCTGGAGGTCCAGCGTTTGCAGCGAACACTTGATAGTTCCGTGGTTTGTTTTTGGCGCTTGTTTGGGCGATTGAAACGCGCAAAACAAAACAAACAGCCAAAAACAAACAACGCACGTGTTTTTGGCAATTGAAACGTGCTTCTTTTGGCGTCTTCGCGGTCTTGTAGGATGGCCGGATCCGAGAGAAGCTGATGCAGGCGACCCACGATCCGGACCTGTGCGGGTCTGTCAGAGACACTGCAATTTATTTACCAAATCCCGAAGAAACAATAGTAGTGCCAAAACAGAAAAGCAAGGACTTTCTATTTTCAATTGTCATGTTTTTCCCCTATAGTATGATGAACACTTTAGTAGGCAAGCATGACTAAAGTAAGGTCCAGGTCTATAGCCCTGAGGCGCCCAAGTGATCCGATAGCCAAAGGCGAACGAAATGTGTCGAAGCCACACATGTGTAGCCAGTATGTTATATCCTGTTGGAGCCAGCGTAGACAGAAGCGATGTCCAATATCCAAAGTGACTTGGAAGTTTGGAGATGAACTTGTCTTCCACGGAGGTATATAATTTGATATAATTTGATATGTTTTGGCATCATTGCATTTGACCATGAACAGGGCAATGGTGCTTTTCACATGCAATCCGCTGATGCCTTCCAAACTTAGCCATCATGCCGTTATTGGTAATTTTCTCTCAAAACACGTCACAAGGGTGAAGTTTTTGGGATGCGAGAGGAAATGAGCGAACTTTTGTGGATTCGTTTGCACTCTTCATCGATGACGCCCATCCTGCGAGCACCTGCTGCCTTTTTCGCAGATGTTCTCCTTTCTGATGGCTAGGCCATCCGCTTTCGGAAGAAGTACCTCCACCAGGCGGCCGTGGTGCCGCCGGTGGACCCTGCAGCTGACACGACACGCGCGACGCTGGCCGCGGGGAAGGCGAGGTCAAGTGCAGTTTCGCCGGTTGGGTTCGCGGAGGAATTGCTAGCTGAGTTTAGCTGTTAGCTAACCCTGGTAGGTCAGGTAGCTTCTGTTTCTGGACAACTTGTTTTGGGGATTTGTTTGTTGTGTATAATTCTAGATTCTAGCTCGACTCCTAGGCTGTCCTTCTCCTCGTCCTCCTCCTCGCTGCCTCATCCTCACACACAACAAGTGGAGTGGACCACTGTCCATTTTAGGGGGACTTAGGCATCTCTGCGTTCAGGTACTTTTGGGGTTGCACTTGAATGTACCTTTGCTGCAGACATGTTTGGGCAGATGTGGTGATTGTAACGGTTTTACAACATTTTTTCTGCCCTTGTGTTTTGCGTGCTTAATGTTCTTTTCTGGGTGTGTTGTGATGAGTTGCACAGAGTCGAGTGTTGATCCTGCACCGGCTCTCACAGAACTGGATGCTGCGGAGTTGTGCGCGCTGCTGCCAAATGTTTTGCAGGCCAGCGTCCCCTTGGATTTGCCAAACGTAGATGTGATTGATGCACTTTGAGCTTGGATGACTATGATCGGAGCCAGCTTCTTGTGGATTTTGCGGCTGATGCGAGCGACTTGTTGCATTTGGTGCAAGTATTCAAAGTATTCAGCGCCTTACAAGCTTGCGCGCAGCTGCAAGCAATATTGCGCCAGAAGCAGCGAGCTGCTATGGACCCTGCGTTACAATAATTGAGCGCCGAGAAAACCCGAGAAAACCCGAGTCTAGAGATTTCTTGCGGTGGTTGACTCCTTTTAATGGCTTCTCTATCATTCTGGGACAAAGCATTACACCGGCCAAAGGGTTGGGCTACCCAGAGCTTGACCAGGCCGGCCGCTCAATTATAGATCGCTGGTTGATGCCTTTCTGTGCCTGCTCTTTTGGATACAGTGCAGCCTTGGTGCGGGATTTTCTGGAAGAGCTGTTTGCGCCTTGCGGCGCAACTGTTCCCCATATTTTTATTTGCACTTTGAGCTTCATTGAGGCTGGAGCGTCAAAGCCTATCGCGCAAGCTTGGGTGGACCAGTTGGTGATGCAATTAGATGCCGGCGCGTCTCCTCAGAAGAAAGCACACCCACAACCTTTGCTGCTCATCACCTTTCCTTGGAACCATTTGTTGTAGCAGACTCTGCCCCTAGATACTGGCGTGCCTTTGCCTGGGCGAAACTATTCGTCAACTTATGAACATCTTCCAGAACAGATGACTTGACGGACCTTGTGCCTTCCAGCGTGTTGGACCATCGCAGTTTTGCCGCGATGCTCGAGCGTGCAAAAACTTCTGTCCCGAGAAAGAACATCAAGTGGCGACCACGTGTTTTTGAAGGTTATTGACATTGGCGGCTTCTTTTGCGGGCGCGCCTTTGTTGGCTACCGGCTTTCAGATTTCGAAGTCTGCGGGCATGAGCTTCAAACACCACTTCTTCCTTCCAATGTTTAGTCTGCAGGTTTGGAATCATGCTGTCCCTGCATGGCTGATTACAGTGCAGTTTGCCATTGTCTTTAGGTTTTTTTACATGTTTTTACCAAGAAGTGCTGCATCCAGTTTAGACTAAGAGTGGGTGCAAAGGGCTCCTATAGGACTCCTGACCACTGACAAGATCGCGATCTGCCATGCCAATGACGCGGTCCCAATGGGTCCCATGATATGGGATCACTGGAGAGGGAAGCAATCACAAACACGCAACCACAAACACACAACCGCACGCCACTCCACTCCACTCCACTCCACTCAGTCTCTCACTCATGCACTCATGCGCCCACCCTCACCCTCACTCACTTTCACTGCACTCTCACGCGGCACGCCGCACCTCACCTCACCTCACCTGACCTCACCTCACCTCACCTTACTGACTCACTCAGGTGCTGAGGATGGCCTCAGGCTTCAGACTTCAAGCTTTGCTTGTGGGTTTCTCCGGCCCTTTTGTTTGGGGGGATGCAGGGGAGTTGTTTGTCCACTCATGTGGGTACTCGTGCAAAAAAGAGTCAGCCGCTCCACACTGGGAATCTTCTAGCTGACGGGGCCCCAAACAATTCTATGGACTGGCGCATGTTTTTTTCATTCTTCCATTCCCTCAGTTAGATGTTTACAAATGTTCAATTCATACACGTAAAGCAGATCGAAGCGCATTCACAGTACTCCTCCCCGCTTGTTTGTGTTCATCTCGCCAGGTCATGGTCATGGTCGATGGCGTGGCCGAAATCCCAGGTGTGGAGGGGGCAGCAACAAGCAGCTGCTGCGATCGATTTGCATGTGAGAGGTTCTGGAGTTTCATCATTTCCAAGATGTCTTCCCAAGATCAGCTGGGAAATAGACTTAGACATGCTGTTTGGGTTCCAAAACTGGAACCGGTCAGGTACGGAAGTGCGGTACCAAGCAAGCACACTCCGTAAATAGGACACTGGCCTTCTGAATCAATCGCTGGAGGATCTTTGCTCCACTCTCCGCCCAAAAACCACGATTGAAAAAGCGATGGCAAGCGAGGCCTGGAGCTACCTGCCGTTCCCAGCAGACATGACTTCAAGCAGGAGCAAACGACAAAAAACCATCCAACTCGTCCCTCTGAGTACTGAGTGGGGTCCGAGTTCAGGGGTTCGAACTCGACATGCCAAGTTGAGTGCAAGCATCTTAAGAAGCTACTAGGAGCAAAGGGCATCGCTACCAGGAGCAAGGAAGCTACTAGCATCTTATTTGCACGTCGGGTTCGAACATCTTGTGTTGGGAGTACAGTCCGAAAGCCTGCGGAAGATCTTGGACGGGGATGGCGACCCTCACTGTCTTAAGAAACACCCTGTTGGAGGGGTCAGAAAGGTCCAAGTCCCTTTTGTGACGGCAACAGGTGTTCTCCGGTGTTGCTTGTATAGCTGAAACTGTTGTCTTACAGGATCGCAAAGGCGTCATAGCCTAATCGCCCCCCAAATCAATCAGCAATACTCCTAACTGGAGGGTGGTGCGGGTGCGAATCCAAACCACGCAGAAGACAATCAAGATGTTGGGCCATTGACATCACAATCTGGTGTTCAGTTTTTGTTTGACTGTTTGGCGCCTTTTTTTCAGGCGCAGCTTCAGGATATCTTGAAATATCACCTAATAATGATGAAATGCCAAGCAGATCTTATTCATAGAAAGACTCTGGAAGATCAGAGTTCATTGACATATTGAGCTCCTCTTCGCGAAGCGACGTGGCCGGCCCCCCTCTCAATGGCTCTGCGGATTCCCCGCGGCATAGCCATTGGCTCAGGGACAAGTGTCCCCTGTTTTCAGAGCAAGAATGAGATCAGTGAAGCATGTGAAACTTGGTCACTATTTAGAGATGTTTGGTGCAGACATTGGCATTGACCCAGACGGTGAAAGAGATTGGATGTGTTGTTTGCATTAAATTCTAAACTCACAAACACTCGCTTATATATATTTATATATAATATATATATATATTTGTGCCTGCGTTGTGAGATATCGCGCTCAGCTTTAGACATCGGCAGATGGCTACTTTGATTCTGGAGATTTTTGCGCTGAGCTTCCTCGTCGGGATTGTCCTGGGAACTTTTTGGACGGCCTTCTTGACCCTGGGCGAAGAGATCGTCAAGCAATGGAAATTTCTTGACGTCACATGTGCAGGGAGCAGGACGAACTGCCCTGCCAGCCTGAAAACCTGGCAGCTACCTTCGTAGTACAACAAGGGAAATCATCCTATAGTTACAATATTTGAGCACTTCCGAAGTTAAAGCCATGTCAGCATGCCGCTTTGAGAGAGATCAAATTCAAGAATACACTTGCTGCAAAAGACAAGTTTTTTGGTCTTCGGACTGTGCACTCCCCCCAAATGCACAACCATCACATGGGAAACCCTGTTGGTTGGTAGGTAGAGCTTCCTTTTTCGAAACGGGATGCTCCGACAAAAAGCAGTGACAGATCCAATGAAAAGCACCCGGCCCCAACCAAGTCAAAGCTTTGATCCTTCCTAGAATCTACCCAAGAGAGGACGAGCCAACGGTGCATTGGAGAGAGTATTCAGTAGGCTGTTGATGGAGCAAGAAGAACACCTTCCTCGGAAGCACTTGTGTGAGCCATGATTTTGAGCACTTTCCGAGGAAATGAATGCATATATTCAAAATTCATGGTATATGAAAGCTTGTGGGTTTGGTAAAATTGAGCACTGTTTGAACTGGGACCATCTTCAAACCTATTGGGGCCCAGTAGTAATTAGTGCCCGCATCCTGGAGACAGATTCCAAGTCGTGTCTTTGTTGCATCGAAGGAGGTTTCAGGATCCTTGCTTCCTCACATTTCCGTACCTGAAAGGTCAATCTCTTTTCAGAACCTCTTGCGTTGGGGGGTTGTGTGCCGTTCATCACGGCTACAAGCCTACAAGCTGAGGGCTTGCTCATCGTTTACGGGAGCTGGTACTCACACTCTCCAAATCGACAATCGTCTTCCAACTTTCCACTTCCAGAGAAAACTTCTCGATCTTTTTGGGGGGTCCCGTCGCATTCCCAGCGGAGTCGCGTCGGGGTGGACCAACCAGCGATCTCCATCCAAATCAGCCCCGATTCTTTGGTGCGTTGAAGTCAAAGCAGGTGGGTTTAGGTCATGTATGCTTGCCACAACTTGATACTTCTTATTGCTTGGAGATCACCAAATGCCGTCTCAGTGTCCAGTCGCTGCACTACTCCAGTCAAGGCTTGTATTTTGCATCTAAGTCACATAGTCCCCTCGAACTATTCAGCAGCAACCGCGTGCATTTGGGCGAAATGGCAGCAACATTTGAGAGTCGAGCAAAATTCCTGAGAGTGAGACCACGATACTGGTTCATGAGTGGAGGATAAAAGTCCAGACATAATACATCAATACATCAGTTCCCCACCTGGTTTCAATGAAGAGCTGGATTCCCAGCACTTTTCGGGTTGGCAACAGTTATATATTATATATACTGTATATTTTTACTTTGATAATTGCTTCCTCTGTTTGGACCCTACATCAGCCAAGAAAACGTGCAGCTTCAGGATTTGCAAGCATAAGAGTGAGGGCACTCGACTCCGAATGCCTCGAGAAGAGGGCGAGCCGCCACGCAGGGCACCAAGGGCACCCGAGCCCAGAGTGGCCAGATTGGCAGATCGGAGCTTGGAGGATGGGTCATGCGATATCGTGAGGGAGAGTGCATTAGATCTGTCGGTTCAATCTAGAATTGGTGGATAAAGAATGTACAGGATTTGAGGTGAAGTGAATTGACAAGCACATTGTCAGGATGCTTGTGGTTGAGGCAGAAGATGCTCCATGTGCGCTTGATGTACGGTACGTGTCCAGCAGTTGTCCAGAACCATGGCACGTTGCACCACTTAGCGTCCCGAAAGAAGCCATGTGCCAAGATGCCTTTAAGTGATGCCTCTCAAAGATGGCATTTGTAGATTGTCTTCTACATGCCATCCAATTTGTCACTTAGTACGACCGCATGCCATCTATCTTACAAGTTGAACAGCTAAATCACATGCACATACATGATATTTGAGGGCAGTGCTTGCTTTTCTTCCGAACTCCTGGCGCCATTGTGGACCAAGTGAGTCAGTGAGCCTCCAAGAACCAAACATTGTGTTTCCCATCAGGCTGGAGACTGGGCACCTACAGCCTGGATCCATTTTTCACACGACCCCTCCATCCACTCGATCCGTTTCTCCGATCCCTGCGATCCCGGTCACCACCGACGTCCCTTTGTTGCACCCCACACCATCGCCCCCGCCCGTGACCCACTTCATCCATCCCGTCACCGTCGTCGTTCTCCGCGTGTGACCCGTCTTCGCTTCCCGTCTTCGGCACGGTGACGGGAAGCACCTCGTCCTTCTCGCGGCCGAGGTGCTGGGCCGTTGGATCTCCGAGATGATCTCCTCCGTGGACGGCGACTTGTTGGACTCCGAGGAGCTGTGCGCGACGCTCGGTGGAGAGGTGAAAACCGCCCCGGTGAAAAGCGGGAAAACGCTGGGAACGGGAGGGCCGAAAGGGGGGGGCGGACCGCGCGAGGCAGTTTTTGGAGGTCGAAGATGATGTGGGAATGTGGGATGCTAGTAATGCTGTTGCTGTTACTGCAGCAGAGGCCACAGCAAGCACGCTATATAATGCTATATATATATATTAAATAACTCATTGTCAAGCTTCCAATCCTGCTTCCGAGTGGAACACTGGCAGTTTGGATGCTGGCTTCTGTTTGGAGTGTGGCCTTTGGGGTGCCAAGTTGGGGCGAAGCCATGTGTCTTTGATCCTAAAAGTTGACCTGTACCGAGGACCCGAATCTTCTACAGGTCTCCTTTCTGGTGGCTTTTGGATTCCACAGTGGCAGGTTGTGACCTGTTGGAGGGTCCTGGTACGGGTTATTCGGCAGAGATGTCTTTTGGACCCCTGAAGGCACCGAACTCGTGGGGTTTCGGCTACTGGTATGCATCCTTCAGAGTGCACTGACATGCACTGACAAAGAGCATGATCCGGAGAAGGAACGATCAGCAGATGATAATTAGATAGATCCTACATATGTTGATAATTACGATACATATGGGCTCTTTTCTGGGGATGCCCCCCTTGCAAGGATCTGCTTGGACGAGTTGCGCGAGGAGAGCAGCGGCAGCACCTGCAAGATCGTGGAGGTGAAACAACTGCCGCTTGGAGCAGGGATGGTTGTGGTGGTGTGGCTCGGACGGTTTGGGGTGTCCCTTAGCATCGGCCGGGAATGAAACGGATCATTGTTCGGACTCAAAGTGTGTGGCACACATCCATCGACCACATCTTCCAGCCGAGAGATTTGCCGAGCTTTGTTTAGCTTTTTGTTACTAGTAGCTTCTTGCTCCTAGTAGTACGGCCAGGAGCCACTAGTAGCTTCCTTGCTCCTAGTAGCGATGCCCTTTGCTGCTAGTAACGTCCTCTACTTCTGGTCTGTGTTTCTTGGGGATTCTGAAGACAACATCATAAATATCAACCATGCAAGCACAGAAGTGTGGTTGGTGATGTTTCACTCGAACAAAAGCAGGTGATGCATTTGTTTTTCGTTTTCTATTTTTTTTTACAAATCACTATCAATCACTGATATTCAATGTACTGTATGCTTGCTATGGTGGCTAGTAGACCTGCTTTCTCCCTGGCTTCGACTAGACAACTTAGGCATTGCCAGCATCGCTTTCACGCAGACTGTCTTATCAAATGGTGGTCGCTTGACCCTCGCCCGGACGCAGTGACCTGCCCCACTTGCCGTCATGCGCACAAACTCGATGCGGCCGGGCAACCGGTGTTTGAAGATGATGTCGAGTTGGTTTATAGTTGAGGCTCTCACAGGACAACAAGAGCATGTAAGTTGTCTTGATGCGACTTCCATCCAAGGTTTAAAAGACGGGCGTCATACGTCATATAAATACAATTCAATGTATAACTTCTCCTCCCAGACTGTCCAAGCGTGAGAATCTGAATCGATGTGTAGCTTCGTGTTCCCGGAGTACCAGAAGGGATACCTGGAGTGCGTATGTGCTGCTTCAGAGATCACGCAGAGCAAAAAC